TGGCAGTCGTACTGTGAATTTCGCAGGGCCGGTGGCTCTTCTTGTGATAAGCTCTTTGTTCTCGCTCGACCATGTACTGGCTCAAAAGAGGTATTTGCATCTTGAGCTGCTTAATAAACGTGGTCACCTCGGCACTGCTTTGTTCAGCAGGCTGCACTAGACAAGGATTTGATTAATTGACATGTGGGGTTTAACGGCGCAAAACCACCATATTATTACGAGAGACGCCGTAGTGAAGGGCTCCGGAAATTTTGACCACCTCGGGTTCCTTAATGTGCGCCCAAATCTGAGCACATGAGCCTCCAGCATTTGCGCCTCTATCGAAAACGCAGCCGCCGCAGCCAGTATTCCTTCCCGTGACCTGCGGGTCAGCTGCCTACTATTTTAGCCAATATAGAACTCCGTGGCAGGGCACCGGACAAGGAGAGGAGCACCTGGGAATCGTATTCAGGTACGTTTCCCACGGGAAATCTTATCATTGAGTCAGCACGGCACCGCACTACACTGATGACATGCGCGTGTCAGACATGTTGCTTTTCTTGTGCTGTCTTGTGGCTTTATCGCATTCTGCATCTTGTAGTGCTGCTTCCTCACCGTGGGACGAAGTGGGCGCGCCTCTTCCTTCTTTCCCGGGTAGGGAAGGAAGAGGAGTTTAATCTTTCCTATTGGGCGCGGAGATGACGATTCCCTCTTCATGGGACTGTTCTTGACTACGTTGTTTTCTCTTGCAGGAAACTTCAGGATGACAGAGGCTGTAAATAACGGGCCTCGAGACGCTCGAAGAATGCTACCATCATGCAATATCACGCTACCTTCGTCATGCTAAAACCTGTAAATAAATGCTCCTGTTTTCAGCTATGGCTACTGTGCTCATGTACACCCTGAGACCAAGATGGCTTCTATCCTGCCCACGCTACCCAAAGTGGCAACAGAGATGTCAGCAATGGGAAGCTGTGACACCCGTTTCACCACAGTCATGAAAGCAGTGGAAGGCAGCGACACCCATTTCGCAACAGTGGTACCAAACGCGGAATGCCCAAACTGCCCGATTCACAACAGCAGCGTGATGCTCTGCGTGGATTGGAAGCAGGACAGTGGGTTGCCCAGACACCGACGGCCGAAGGCCTTGGTACATGCCGGAAGGTGATGTGTTGCTGTGGTTTCAGGCTTTCAGCTCGCGGCAGCGATAATGTAGGAGACGGACATGTATGGCAGAAAAGAAAAGGTGACGCTATGGTGAGGGAGAAATGGCGGTGGGAAAACAAAAAGAGGCATGTGCGCCAAGGATATTTGACGAGCCAAGTGACAGGCATTCTTGGAGTTTTTAACAAGCTTGTGGTGCGCAGCGCATGTGCCCCATGAGGTCACCAAGGAAGCAGCTCTACTCCTTGGGATACTATAAGTCGCAAGTCGGGTGGCCCTCTGGAGACATCAAGAAAACATAAACTATGCAACCCCTATACGATCAACTTTTACAAGTGTAGGAACTCATGTTTCCAGTTTTGATGTATGTTACTTATCCGTTATATCCAAAAAAGGCAGAAATTGAAGGAAGAAGTTTGAAGGGATGACAAATTTCTGCACTCAGGGTCCCTCAGCAATCGTCGGACGTGCGAACAGAGGTATCAATACAACTGTGCCTATGTACCCCCCCCCCTCGCCTGTTTTAAACGATACAATAGCAAATACACATCATGGAAATGACTTCCCTTAAATAGAGCCCTTATTTCGTCTGATAGAGGGCTTCAGCGGTTTTTTTTATTTATATTTTTTATACTTATACCTACAGCGCCCTCTAGGAGCATTGTTCGAGGGGGGTTTACAAATTCAAAGTACATTTAAATCAGTTGGGACAAGTTGAATTGCACGGCACTTAAAAATAAAAACAAATCAAAAAACCTAAATCAAAGCATACAATATCATTGTGTGACCACATACTCCTCTAAAAGAGAAGGAAACGCTGTGGAAGGGGCGGCACCAATGTTTTTTGGAAGACTGTTCGGTTCGTGAATAGTTTTAGGAAAAAAAGTATTTGCATACGTTGATGTTCGGCACACATATTCACACACTTTCAAAGGATGGTCCCGTCGTGATGAGATGTATGTTGGTGGTCTGATGTATTTGTTTTTATCGATCCCTGTTTTGTCGTTTTTTAGGTTGTAGAAAAGACATAGCCTGATATATTTACGCCTTCAGGAGAGTAACGGCCAACCAAGTGCACTAACGATTTCGCTAGGCCTTGCGGTGAAGTCGTAATCACCCGTCAAAAACCGGGCGGCACGTTTCTGACTTCGCTCCATTGCATCAATATTTAACTTTGTGGCCGGGTCCAAGGCAGTGCAAGCAAGCATATTCTAAAATCGGACGTACATTTGACACGTACAGAACTTGTTTAAGAACAGAGGGGTGGTTCTGAAATTGCGGCGTAGGAAGTTCAGCACGCGACTGGCTTTAACTGATACCATGCGAACATGATCATTCCACGATAATGTGCTGTTGATGACAACGCCAAGATACTTGTATTCATTTACCACGGATAGTTGTATCCTGTCCATTAAGTAATTCGTGATAAAAGTAATTTGTGATTCGTAACTGAAGTAATTCGTGATTCGTGTTTTTTCTTGGTAAACCTAACGACACAGCACGTTGACACGTTAGGCTGCATTTTCCACGCACTGCACCATGTTATTACTGAGTCAAGGCCCTTCTGCAGTTGTTCAGAATCTTGAGTGCACTTAATTTCACGATATATGCAGCAGTCATCTGCGTAAAACCTCACTTGACTGTCCACGCATTCAGCAAGATCATTGATATAAATCAAAAAAGAGAAGCGGCCCCAGGACGGAGCCTTGTGGCACTCCTGAAATGACGTCAACATGTGACGACGGCGCGCTATCGATGATGGTGCATTGTTTCCTGCACGAGAGATAAGCTTGTTGCCATGCCAGTGTGTTAGCAGATATATTGAGACACAATAATTTCAGTAAAAAGAGCCAGTGTGCAACAGTGTCCAAAGCCTTGCTTAAGTCGTGAGTTGAGTTTCGTGAGAACACCTGCGCATCGACAAATGAGGACGCTTACAAACTATTGTCAAAATACGAAAATCACGAAACTGGCCGTAAAAAGATGCAAAAACTTATTCTAAACGATGGGCGTTCTAGTTAAATGCTACAAACTTTTGGCTGATTGCGAGTTGCTAAATATTTGCAATTACCTTGATTGCGCGAAAAATTGGCAATATTTGCATTAATGGGCAGGCCTGTGATATATAGGTAACTCCCTATCTTGCGCTTAAGGTGCAACAAAAACAGCTTCAGAGATATTCATGACTCATGAGTCGCGTTGACTAGTCTACAGAGTATAGGCAGGCGGGAAAAGGCGTGGCGAACATGTGAGTGTGTCTGCAAACTTGAATTTTTGCCTAGGTAAAAGAACGCACATCTTATAAGCACGGTCTAAGGTTAGCAGTGTACCGTTGCTGTTGCAGCAGTACCACCTGGGAAACCTTTTTTTATGGTATGCAAGAGCGTCTTTCCCTCATTCTCATGGCGAAAACTTATATTACGAGTTTTTTCTATAACGTGTAGCATATGCCATCAGAGTAAACTGCTACACGTCTTGTATTTTCTGTTTTCGGTGCATGCGAATGCACTCCAGGAGGTCTAACTTAGCCGAAGCCCTTAACATGACATGACAAGAACTTTACTTCGGTCCTGAAGGACGGATATTCAGGGGAGCCATAAGCCTCCCGTCATATCAAGTCGGTGACTTAACTACGCCATCTTGCATGGCCCGGGTTGCTTTAGAATGCTAATCCACACAGAGAAAAAAAATGAACAGTGTAGACCCGCCAATATATCGATATACAGGCTGTGTCAAGAAATGCGTCCAATATTATTTAAAAATGACACAAAGAAGGCATTAGCGTCCCACCTGCAGCGTTCCCTTTACTTTGGCAGAAGGCATCTTCAGACACGTAAAAAGAATATTTACAGCAGTAATTATATTAAATAAAAATTTAGATTTTTAACCAGTGGAAATAGCCGTTCGAATCACATGGGTGAATATAAGATCTTCCTACGAGTGGTCTACAGCGAATCAAAATTTTTTGAAAAGCGGCTGCTGGTAATAACCGCAGAACGATAAAATCTGGCTAACTTAGCTAGCGAACCCGAAATCGACGCACCAAACAACGCATCTACTGTTCACTTCAAAAACGGCCTCTATTAAAAGTTATTGTTTTGCTCGTGTAAACAGCTGACTGTTTATATTTTTCTAATTAAAGTCGCAATTATAGTTTCTACTCATTTCAAGATGCCTTCTGCCATTGTAAAGGCAACGCCGCACGTAGCACACAGACGCTTACTATCTGTAGTTTGAAATAATATTGAAAACGTGTCTTAAAATGCCCTGTGTATGACACCTGGGCTTAACACGCGCCTGAATCAGGCCCGTGCCCGACCCGAGCCCGAAGCTCATTCGCGGGTCATATACGTGCAAGGCTCCCGGTGGAATAACAGATTTGTGCAGAGATAGATTGAAACAAGACTTCAAATCATATACAAAATTTTAACAATTTTTCTTTATCCAAAAATTTGCGACAAAAAAGAACTTTGGTTCATCATTGAACATGCGTGCCGCAGTGAATCTGAGGTGGCCTGGCAGGCACTCACGCACGCTAGAAAAAATACAGATGAGATCTCGATGATGCTTGAAAGTGACGTTGCAGAGAAGCACGCAATCTACAAGACTCTCTGATTAAGCATCACTGAGACAATTATCATAGAAAAGTACATCTGGCTATATTGCAATTTGATAAAATATTTTACACCTTTGACTGTGGCAGAATTCCCTAGAGATCCTACGTAGTACACATTCTCAATATATATTGCTGCGATTAAAAGTATTTATGGTATTGGAAAATAGATTCTTTAAAAGACTTAGTGTATGCTCTCATGATCCGAAAGATAATTTGACGTATAAGAAGCACACGTACTTACCTGAAATATTGACGTAATTCTTAGTCCATAGAGCAGCGGCACGACAACGTTCGTAGCGAGAGGCAAAAAAAGAAAGGACGCAAAAGATAAAAATAGAGTGTGCCAACCATACGCGTAGAAATGTGCCGGAAAGGCAACCAGTCCGGCGGACGAGTACAGCGATACCACTGATGAAGCCGCAAGGGGAAGGATACCAAGCACATGACTTCCGAGAAAAACCTCATCCTTCATTGAGCCACCTCCGGTGGAATAGGCCCTCCTCCGCAGTGAGAAATAAAGACCAACGAATAAATTCACTGCTACCAACAAGCCGAACACAGCGTATTCTAGTAGAAGCACCATTTAGAGAGCCTTACGCGTTGAGGCAGCCTTATGCGATGAGTGAGCATTAGGCGTCTAGTGAGCCTTACGTGAGGGGGGTTTGATATATGCGATGGCACGTTTCCGCAAAGTTGCACAATTGCGGATGTGATGTGCTATGCCACACTATGGAATCCCTACACTGGCACTTCATTTTTTTAAATACGTCCGGGCATGCCCAACATCTGTTCCGGGCAGATTTTCCTAAAACTCACAGCAGTCTCTCGTATATTATCTGAGATTAGATAATAACGAGATATGTTATCGATAGATATGTGGCTTAATGCAAATAAACATCAAATAAACGTAAGGAGAACAAAATACTTGCTGTTTGTATAAAAAGAAATGAACATGGTTTGTCATCCTCAACTACAGTTTCAAAAAGTAAATATTCAACGGTCAAGCACGGCAAAATTCCTGGAAATTATATTCCATAAGAACATGTCCTGGTTACCAAATATAGATTCTCTCAAAAGTAGTATTGCGCGTGCTGTAGGTGCATTAAACAGGCTGCGATAATTACTACCAGCAAGCGTGAAGCATCATATCTACAGCGCACTCATACATTCCCGTTTAACGTACTGTCTTCTAGTTTGGTCGACTTCAACACAGTATAATTTAGGATCACTTCAAATGCTTCAAAACCGGGCGCTACGTGGAATAGAAAATTTAGGACGTATGATGAGCACCCAAATATATTATTCCAGAAAAAATAAATTATCAAAAATGCTCAACTCTACACATATGAACTGTTTCTTGAAATTCTGCGGCGATTTCAAGTCTGACAAACATTTATTCCAGAGTAAGCACTGTGTGAAAACAACAGGCTACAAATTCAAAAATAGTTCTGTGTTTATACCACATAACAGAACAAATTACGGGGAAGAAAAACTTGCTGTTCGAAGTTTAAACCTCCTTAAAGACTATACTATACCTTTACGATAGATGTCCTAAAATCCGGAATTAGGAAGCAAGCCTATAAAAAATTAGTAAAAGAAATATTATTTTCAGAGGACTAATGCAAACAAAAGAATACTATGGTTTTGTATGAATGTTATGTATTGTGTTGATTTTTCTTTTTCTCTTCCCACATTTGGATTATGAGCCTTACAAGTTGTTCCTAGTTAGTTTTTTTGGGGGGTAAAACTGTACTTTTGTTTCTTCTCTTTTTATTACTATATGACTGTGTGAAATTGATCACTGCTGCTGCTGCTGCTGCTGTTGTTGTTGTTGTTGTTGATGTTGCTGTTGTTGTTGCTGTTGTTGTTGTTGTATGGGTGGCACGGCCCAGACAGGCAATGTTTGCCTTTTGCCGGGTCTCTTTGGACAATTTTGTAATTGTTCTTAATAAATCAACAAAGAGAGAAAGGAAGAAAGCAAGAAAGACAGAAACAAAGAAAGAAAGAGAGAAATAAAGAAAGAAAGAAACAAAGAAAGAAATAGAGAAAGAAAGAAACAAAGAAAGAAAGAAGGAGAAAGAGAAAGAAAAAAGAAGGAAAGAAAGAAAGAAAGAGAGAAAGAAAGAAAGAAAGAAAAAAAGAAAGAAAGAAAGAAAGAAAGAAAGAATGAAAGGTCCAAAAAAATGGGAGTAAATGCTTCGTTGAACCACAGACTTCCTAACAAGTACTTCGCAGGCTAGCCCGCGTCAGCCTTGTGCAAGACCTTCGTGAGCACCTGCAGCTCACGGCTGCTAAATAAAAGATTAGGTCCCTGTCTTGTTCTCATAAACTTCATATGAAATTGACCTTGGCAGCAGTTGGGCGCTTAGTTATCGTTTCGACCTTGCGGCCTTCACATTTTCCTGTGAAAAAACTGGGCCCGCATGCCTTGTCTCGTTGTTTTCCTTACGTGCTGCAGTGGCAGATTGCTGTTTTTATTTAAGTTCATCATTTTTCTTTAGCTGATCAACGCTGCTGTAGCCCTGCTGCGAATTCATTTTACACTGAAGTACACCGATCAAGTGATTCACGAAAGAAAGTCTTTTTTATAGTATATTGATTCCAAAGGGCAATAACCACTTGTACTGAAAAATTTTAACCACTTTCAGTAAAAGTCGTTATGCTGTTGAGAAACAAAGCGAGTTGTTTTGTTAAAACAGCATGTGAAGAAATCAACCATCTACACGTTTATTTAAAAACTTGCAGAAATTTAAGAGCTAAAAGTGGGGTGCTTCATATGTGGAGTGATTAATGATGGCTAGCGTGTGCAACTGTGGGTTATATGCGCAATAAATTATATGTGGGAAGCATTCAACAAATATGAAAGGCTCAATTCTTTAGAAATCATGCGAGTATTGGTAAAGTGTTCAAGATTTCAGGATTCATGTAGAAGTTGTGTCATATTTGATAGCTACATCTTTTTTATTCGCGAAAAGATATCTTTATCATACGCGCGAAGTGCTGGTAATCTTTTATTTATTGCTATATTTATTCTCTTTACGAGTAAGTCACTTGCAAGTATTTCTGTGGGTTTTAAATCAATAATTAAGTTAGTCATATATTATTGTAATTCGATACACTTTACGCAAACGTTCTCCTAAATACTCTTAGTAATGTTACTATTTTTGCATATATTACCCTCTCATTTTATGTAGTGAAAAAATAGTAACATATAAGCACTACAGCCAAATGCTTTTATTTGGGAGAAAAAGAGTGGCTATTTTTGCCATTTCGAGAATAAAATGACACAAAATAGGAAGTTGTTTTGTGCATATTCCATCACATAACGCTTGCCTCACCAAAGCGCACTTACATATTTCAAAGCTAAAACACCTTAATTAGCTCACAGCTTCCAAGAATACTTTTGCGGTCCTCAATCTATTTGCGTGAATTCTTGGCATGGTCGTTTGAATTTGCCTGTTGCATGTTATTGTTGCGTATGCGCCCTTACCCTAGCAAAAAAAAGCAGACAAGCAGTCGTCAATTTTGCAAACTTTTGTTCTAGCTATGTCGGTTCTCTCGAGCCCCTACGAAAATTATGCAAGGTGTAGCACATCAGCAGAGAGACAGACAAGACAGACTCGCACAGACATTATCATTCCTGTAGTAGGGCACTTCTGAGGTGCTTATCTGTGTTCTTTAAAATTTTGAATCATATTTGATGAGGCTGCCAACACGACTTACTCTACCGAGACCCTACCAAAGATGCGACGGATGCAATAAAAAAAAATGCGTCATCACCCCGACACGGATTACGGGTTGATGTCGAGTGTAGCGGGAAGTTTGATTGGCGTTTTTAACGGCGGTGTTTTTTGGTTTGCGGTTCAACCCTTATGGTTAACCTTGTGTGCTATTAGGTAGCTCACCTGGTTTGTTACCAAGCATCACGAGAACGTTTGTTGGGCAATCACACAATGCTCTGCTTCACCCCATGGCCACTTCGGGGTGGTGGCGTAATTTTTAATTAACGCGCACGCTGCGAATAATCATTGTACAACAACGCTACGGAGAAATCTCTCACAGGCACAACATAGAAGGTTACGATTCAGTGTCTATCTATACGAGGTGGCCAGTGAACGATTGTGCAGCGTTTCTAGGGGCGAAGCTCCTTAAGTCGTGGGTCGTGCGTCCTCGATGTACTGACGGAGTAATAGTAGTTCTTTGTTCATAGAATGTGCGCTGAGTGACGGTACTTGTATATGATGAAAAGGCAGCCTCCATGTGCACGCGCCTCCATGTTTTAGGGTGGTGACAACTTCGATCATGGTGGCTTACAACTGACTGAAATGGCCGCTGTACTTGACGGGCCACGATGTTAGTTCTCAGTGGCATAGAGTTCCCTAAGACTAACTAGAGGGGGCTCTGGCGCTGCGATCATTCAACGACCATGGGAATTATGGGTAGTACATGGATATTCTTATACTCTTCGTACTTGCGGGCGGCAAATTACATTCGTGGCTGGCTTCGTTTATTGCTGTGTTTCGGTTTTCTTTCAAAGAAAACATCGAACTCTTTAGAACTGCGTGACCCGATTTGAAATAGTAAGCCTAAAATGTGAAGGTGGTGAAGCGCAAGCACTGAACAATTGTTGATTTTTGTTTTGTGAGAAAACAGCTCCAAGAAACATGAACACACACGGAGCCAGAAGAACCGAGATTAAACAAATCCGTCTACTACCGATCCTTCCCATGCTCGCTAATGCGCCGTGTGTTGCAGCTCGCATACACACTAGCGCCAAAGCTCCCTCTAGTGCATATTCAGGAAACTCTATGCTCAGTGGTCACTCAGTTACATTGAATGAAGCGTGGGTTTGAACGAGAAAAGGGTGGTTTTTGTCTTTGAAAAAAGGGGTTAACGATTTAGAGTACTAAGTACTCTACTATGGGAGAGCTGAAAGCCGTCCCGGATGCCACCAAACGTAGGGATTTTAGGGGCAAAGCTCCCTAAAGCAGCACCCTCGTGATGGTCATAGTGCGTAAGCAGTCTTACGCTTTGACCTGCAAGGTGGTGCCGGTGGGAGATTTCTCCTGTGCGTTGTAGAACAATAAAAAATTCGCAGCGTGCACTTTAACTAAAGGCTGAATGCTCCTGTCTCTCATTCCCAATGAGCAGCCATTGGCATGTACATTGAGCACTTTCTCACATGAAAGGGTTGCTAGGTTATACTCACTGGGCGTAACCTCCTCGGTTTTAGAAAGGTTTAGCGAGCGTTGCGCCGCAGTGCCATGAATACAATGAACTAGTATATACCATGCACTCGATGTGGCTAAAGGTGGGAAGTGGACAAGAAGCGCAAGCCATAAAAAAGTGTGCGTGTGCCACCTCTCGTTTAGTTCTTGGAATGTCCGCTAGATGGTGGTGCTTCTTTCTATATGTGGAATGTATGATGAAAAGATGCGAGATGGTGGTACTTGAAGTGTTGACTAGATAGACGAATGGACACACAGACAGATGCATGGACGGACGCGCGGATGACTGGACAGACGGATAAACAAATGAACAGACGCAGGGGCGGATGCATGGACGAACGCAGGGACGGACGCATGGATGAATGTGTGCACACATGAACAGACGCACGCACGAGAGGGCG